TCATACAAAAGTTCTCCCAGTTAAGGTTTTAAATGTTGTGTTTCACATAGCATAAGTGATTTAAGCGATGTTTCCTACACGTGTGAACTGTAATGAGTGTACAGTACATCTAGTCCCATCATGGACTTCACGGTCTGTTCTAGGTATACCATGTTTACAAAAGTAAAATAAACTCCATAGTTAAGCTGAAAACCATTTCTAAGATTCCATCTTTCAGTGTAGAATATATAAGCAGAATGATCCAATACAGTATTAGAACTCTATGAAGTGGTCTGATAGATCAAATTGGCGAAACCGCTGGGAAGGTTAATCACTAATGATCCAAGCCCGTTCAACACCTTTCAGTGTAACATATACACTGCGTGACATTGAAAATGGAACACCAAGAAATAGTGGCCAGAAAATCATGCAAATTTCAGGGTAGACGCGCCTAACCGAGTTATGCAAATGATTTAAAATGCGCAGCTCTCGTGCGCACATGGAGTAAGATATAAGGGAAGGAACTTGCAGAAAGGACAGTATTCGTGTCGTTATTTCTTCAAGGAAAATCATTGTAGAAATTTTGTTCTTGTGTCAAAATACACGTGTAATAACAGAGAATGCCAGGTCATCGTAAACGGAGGCAGTTCAAGCAGACAGACGCTTTTACGAGGGGCATGGTGATCGGACTGAAAAGGGCAGGTTGGTCCATACGTCAAATCGCAGCTGATACACACCTTGGTGCGTCCACGGTGCACCGACTGTGGAGAAGATGGTTGGAACAAGGAAATGTGGCAATTTATAGGAATGTCGGTGCAACCATAGTGACGTCAGCACGTGTGGATCGGCGTATCCTTCGACAAGCAGTGGCGGCCCCACAAGCCACTAGTACCGCCATCCTGCAACATGTGCAGGACACCCTAGATCATCCCATCTCGACCAGAACCATTTCCCGTCGATTGGTTGCTAATGGCTTGCACTCATGCCGTTCGCTAAGAAGACTGCCATTGACCCCACCGAATAGGCGCCAACATTTGGAATGGTGCCAGGCTAGATCGACGTGGATGACGGAATGGCACAGGGTCGTGTTCTCAGATGAGTCGCGTTTCTGCTTGTCCAGTGATAGTCGCCGTGTACGCGTGTGGCGTCGACGTGGAGAAAGGTCCAATCCGGCAGCAATTGTGGAACGCCCCACCGTGCGACAACGTGGAATCATGGTTTGGGGCGCAATCGCGTATGATTCCAGGTCACCTTTACTTCGTATTCAAGGCACTATGACGGCCCAACGATACGTTGATGATGTGCTGCGACCGGTGACACTCCCCTACCTTCAGGGGGTACCCAATGCCCTTTATCAGCAGGATAACGCCCGACCGCACACTGCTCGCATTAGCCAACAAGCTCTGCAAGATGTACAGATGCTTCCCTGGCCACCGTACTCTCCTGATCTCTCACCAATCGAGCACGTCTGGGACATCATTGGACGCCGTTTGCATGCCTTGCCACGGCCGCGTTCAGAAGACGAACTGTGGCAAATGGTTGAGAGGGAATGGAGAGCCATCCCTCAGGACGCCATCCGTACTCTAATTGACTTTCTACCTAGACGTGTTGCTGCGTGCATCGCCGTCCGCGGTGGTCCTACTTGCTACTAAGCCGACGCCGTTCTCGCTCTGTATTATGACTATCATTTTGAAATAAAGATCACTTATTGTTCGTCCCTGTCTCTCTCTGTCTGCCGAGTTTCATCACTTTCTGGCCACTATTTCTTGGTGTTCCATTTTCAATGTCACGCAGTGTATAAGCAGAATGGTCCAATACAGTATTAGAGCTCTAAGAGATGCGGTCTGGTAGATTGAATTAACTAAACCGCTGGAAGGATTCACCACTAATGAGCCAAGCTCTCCCAATATCTTTTTCATCGCAGTAAGGACAGTAGAAGTTAGTTTTGTGTATAAAAGAAACATTCTTGATTAAATTAAATCATTTTCTTTATATCTGTAGGTGTAATGGCTTATTTCCACAGTTGTATGATAAAAAGTTTTAGCAGTTAAGGCAATTATATAATATTATAAATAATTATAAAGGCAATCCGGAACTAAATTATTTGAAAACCGAATTATTTATACAAAAGCATTTATACAGAGATCATAGTAAAAAAATGGTTACGACAATCAACAATGGACGACAGTTGAAGAACAAGGCGTTAAAAGTGCCTACAGACAGCAAAGTAAACTAATTTAAATGGGTCGTTTGTATTAAAATGAACTCTCTTATTGTGAAACAGCATTGGATCTTATTACTCCATGACCATTCTGTTTTTTTTCTTTATCTTGGTGCTCAGAGGTCATCTAAGCATTACACCTTTTGTCACTCCAACCTGATCAGAAGAGAAGTCGGTGAACAAGTGGGTAAAACCCTCGATTCCTGACAGCCATGAACTGGGATCGAATCCCGCGTTGGATACTTTGTTTTAATATGTGAATAACCTTCATATATATTATTCATTGTTGTAAATATCATAAGCTAGGTTGTTCTTGTTGAGCGGTACATAATAAAGTGATTTTGGAACAGGAACCTGATCAGGGTAACTATCCGTAAGCCGATATATTTGCTCCAAATCTCAGATGGAAGATCTGATCGCGGACCCCACGAAGGAGCCCGCTATTCGCACCGCGAAATAACGGGGACACGACAAATATCGTTGCAATCCATAGGCGGGATTCCGACTTAGAAGCGTTCAGTCGTAATCCCTCGGATGGTAGCTTCGCATCATTGGCCGTTCGACCAAGCTCACGTACCAAATGTCCGTACCTGCAAGGGGATGCAAGGGCTTTTGTTGCCTATATCGTCCCTGGCTTTGCCGAATTTCTATTCTGTCCGTACCTGCGGTTCCTCTCGTACTGAGCAGGAATATTACGGCCCGCATCAGTAGGGTAAAACTAATCTCTCACACGACGGTCTCAGATGGAGCTCAGTGTATATCAAAACACGTTTTAAAAATAAAGATTCTCATCTGAACTTGTCACTTGGATCTCTACATGCTCTACATCAGTTTCTTGAAGAGTTTGTCTGGACAATATTCATAGTTCTTAAAATTAAAAGACACTTCGGCCAGGAAAAGCATTTTCATTTTCTCAACGTTTAGATATAAAATTCTTTTGTTTTCGTCAGGGAAAATAAAAATGAAAGCATTTGACATGGTGTTATAAATATATCTGAGTTTACAAAGGCATATTATGACACGATTTTTCAAATTTCAACACCTAAATCACGAGTACTAAACAAACATTTAACTCACCAAATATGATCTTGTCAAAGACTATGTGTGTTGTTTTGTGTTTATAATCTTGGAAATAAATGTATAATAATATTTATAAAATTCAACAAAATTAATAATAAAATAATATTTACAAATATTTCACAATATTCAGCAATTTCTAACCGAAATGTATCTTATTTTTAAGAACAATTTCGTAGATTTGGAAGCAAACATGAGACGCAAACTCTCCGCACCATTTACTGAAAATTCAGGAAGTCAACGCTATATTTCGTCTGCCACAGTACTGGCAGAAGACCAACGTTGTGGATGTGCTAAGGTATGTGGTTAATTAAACATTAATGAGGGAGGTGCATGGAGTGAAGATGGCTTGACTTAATGCTATGCAAATAAGGGTTCAGGGAGTTGTCTATTGATTTGTGGGTGACAGCGTCATTGTGGACCTCCGACAATATGTCTCTCCTATACACTGGTGAACTGGAAATTTGCATATCGCTTCTCCATCCTCAACTGTTGCGTTTACGGAAAATTATATTCTCTTCTTGCGAAATGTTAACATACACAGTGTGGCAAATATTTTTTAAGAATAGGTTTGTAAAATAAAACAGAAACAAGCTAAATCAATTTCTACTATTTTTTTATTCAAAATAATCCCCTCCGGATTCAATACATATGTTACAACGATTTAATAAGGAATTAAATGCCTCTTGCAGGCCACTTTGAGGAATCGCCTCCAAAGTGCTCGTCGCAGCTCTCTGGATGGTCGGGATATCATAAAAAAAACAACCTTTTAACTTCAATTTTATTTTTTTTGGGTCATACTGAAAACACCATGTTTCATCACCCGTAACAATTGATTTCAGGAAGTTTGAATAATTTTCATAGGCAGAAATGATGTCCCTGCAATGTGCAATTCTCAATGATTTCTGTTCGCCCGTTAAAGTGTGTGGAACAAATTTAGCACAGACTTTAGTTTTACCCCCAATCTTCATGCAGAATGGTTCGAATCGTTTCTTTGTTGATTTGTAAAACCTCTGCCATCATTCTCAGGGATGCACTGCGATTGTTTGCAACAAATTCTCGAACTTTTTCTATACTTTCTGGTGTCTTCGAAGAACTTTGATGTCCAGTATGCTTATCATCTTCTAGCGTATTTCTTCCATCCGAAAAACGTTTGTGCCAAATGAAAACATTTGATTTACTCAAACATAACGTACCATAAACTTGCTTCATCAAATTATATGTTTCCGATGCACTTCTACCAAGTTTTGCATTAAATTTAATGACCGCTCTCTGTTCCATCTCAGAATTCCGACGAACAAAATTTTTACTTTTCAAAAATCGCCTGTATGGCTTTAAAGAGTTAACCAAAATGGCTGAAACAAAGCCACGCGCTAGATAAGGCTTCGAATATATATACGCATGCGCAATTTCATAACTGGCTCTGCTATTGGCTTTTATCTAGCGCGAGTCTTAAAAATTATTTGCCACACTGTGTATAATCCTTTGATAGCAATATTTATATAATAAACGTCCAAGGATATATATCAATATAATATTTCAATATAATACAATATAATGCGGCTAATAATTGTAGAACGACATTTGAAAATTATCCCGCATGTGTTTCTTTTGAACGAAAAATCGAAATTTATTTTAAGGAGAAATAACGATTATTTCTAACCGTAGAGATGAAGTATGAAAGGATGAATTGTGAAGAATAATGATAAACGGAAAAATAAAGTGTCCAGGGATGGGAAACGAACCCACAGTGTTCCGTTTACTGGGCAGATGCCATGTCCACTAGACTAGTTCCCATCCCTGGACACTTTTATTTTTCCGTTTATCATTACTCTTCACAATTCATCCTTTCATACTTCATCCCTAAGGTTAGAAATAATCGTTATTTCTCCTTAAAATAAATTTCGATTTTTCGTTCAAAAGAAACACATGCGGGATAATTTTCTAATGTCGTTCTAATATTTCAATATCACAATTATAAAGTAGGTTAAAAACACGGCTGATATTATGTAAATTTTATAATATACATATAACTTGCCATAGTATAGTAGCAATCCTGTAGAAGGGCGTTATTCCGAAAGCTCGAAAAACGTTTAATAAAATAAAGATAATTATATATATATATGTATCATACTATGTATAATGAATATGGCGCCTCTGCCAGCGCTGCAGAGTTTGGTGGAGAATCGCGAGTGGGTCTCCAGCGTCACCACGTATTTCGTGATCTACGAAGAATAAGTTTAATAAAAATACTCATTCTTAGACATTTACTTTAATATCTAAAAATAAGAAAAGTCAGAATAAGCATTTATTATAAAAAAGAAAGTTATATCTATTATATTGTAACGTAGAAATCAAGTCTTTGTATATCTGAAGGTATGGCAGTATTGATTGATGACGTCACCACGACCAGTCAACAATTATTAACAAACCAACCAAACTATCTACAGCTAGAGAATATCGAGCAAGCAAGCTAGGTAACTCAATGATGATTTTACAAATAATAAATATATAAAAAATTATTAATCAGCTAGTATTTCTAGGGGCAACACGCCTCTCTTTATCAAGGCTTTTCTTTGATTTAAACTAAATCACGTGGGTATGTGATCCACTCACGCTATACAAGACCAAAGCGAGAAACCATTTAAAGAAAAAATATATATCTGTACATACATGACTACTTGAAATTGTATCCATTATTCCTGTAGAAGGGCAGCTTGCGCCCGAAAGCTCGAATTGATTTTTCAAATAAAGAAATTTATCCTTTTTGAATCTATTCGTTATTATAAAAATAATAAATATGTTTCACATATTTCATTGAATAATTAAATTAAATATTTCTACGCTACAATATTAATAATACTCTTTGACACACGGTTTCAGCTAAATTGTGGCACAAAATCACAATTTGATCTGAGAGACCAGACTAACTAGCCTCGCATAGGTCTAAGCAAAGACGAATACGTGTAGCTGACTCACTTTATTTTCATTCTTTTTCTCTGATATTTCCATAAATCTTATTGTATTTCAAATTAGTTAATTCTCGACCTCTCAAATACGAAAGAATAAATAAGAATAGATGCAAAAGAGCATACAAGACATTACTATAAAAGATGAATTTGGTTCTAATACAATCTCTATCTCAATATGTTGTTGCTTATTCCTCGAATCGTTTAAACGATCTCCATTAGGTTCCTTTGTCTCAGCTTTTCTATTATAGTCCTGGTGTTTTTCCCAGAGGTCTTTTTGAAGGATTTGATACAATTCAATAGATGTTCAGGACTGGCTGGTTGAGAATCGCATTTGGGGAATTTCGGGAATGTTTTGATTTTTCCATTAAATTTGAGTATTCTAAGATGTCCTGTTCGTAATCTTGAAATCGCCGTTTGTTCTTCCCTAGTAAGGGTATGGAAAGAAGATTCATTAGGAATGGGAGTGTACCAGGGGTAGTTTAGAGTGGATTTCCAGAGAGAGGTTTGTTTGTGGATGGAAGAAATTTCAGAATAGGTGAGTAGGAGTTTTCAGGCTGGCCCTTACAGCCTTCTTTAGCCAACTGGTCAGCCATCTCCTTGCCGTCTATGTTAACGTGAGTGGGAATCCATTGGAATGTGATCTCTCTTAATATAAATAATATTATATAATGAAATGTGTGAACACTAGATAAGAAAAAAATAATTTTTATCAAATGACAAAACCCTATGAAATAACATTGCTTGTAGAATGTTAAAAACCAATTAGATACCTTTTTTGGTAAACGAAACTCTTAACGTATTTGAAAATTAAAAATTAAGAAAATGCCGAATCAGAGACGTTCTCAAAAGTAAACGACAGCCAACTTACCTCAGTACAAAGTATTTTAACCAGCGCCATATCAAGTCGAATGGTTATTCTGTCCCTATATAACTTTTACAAAGCAGTAAGTAGGAGCTTAGATTCATCGTTTCATCCTCCACTACATGATGGTGATTGATCATTGTGAGGATATCGTTGTAAGCCGGCAATGAGAGAGGAGAATCTGACTGGTGTCTTAATATAGACTTTGTGTGTGTTATACAATAAAATAAGACCTAATCCAAATAATTTAATAGTGTGTGACGTTTCGGCAACAGCATTGTCACCATCATCAGACAAACAAATAAATGATTTATTATAAGTCATTCATTCTTTTGTCTGATGATGTTGACAATGCTGTTGCCGAAACGTCACACACTATTAAATTATTTGGATTAAGGTCTTATTTTATTGTATTATAATCTATAATCCAAATTGTGCTTTATCGGTTATGTGTGTGTGTGTGTGTGTAAATGCCAAATTATCAATCGTATTTCTATTTATTACATACCAGCTGTATTGGTGCCAGAGTAGTTGAAGTTGATTTTATATGTATTTGGTGCCCTGAATTCAAATATGGTATTAGTTTTGGCGCAAGAGCTAAAATTCCCAAAATATATTAGATTTTAGTGAAATATACATCATACTATATAGGGCTGTTAGTCAGGGAAGGGTCTTCCTTCACCCCCACCTACCCCGGCGACATAGCGCGTTAAGCTATGTAAAATCATGGCTTAAGTAAACACTAAATGCGGAATTTAGATTATTATATTTTATTTTTTGAAAAGATAGAAGGAAAATTATCGAAAATCACTGAAGACTTCGGAAATCTTCTTTTCCTTGATTATAAGCATCATCTTCATTATTAACGTAAAGATAGAGGCTGTGCCTGGCCGGTATTCATGGCTCTTAAAATTCAAGATACTTCAGCCAGTAAATCTTTTCCATTATCTCTTATTATTATTGCTGTGCCAAATGTTTTATTTTTTGTTTGCTCCTGACGAGGATAAAATATTTTTGTCGAAACGTCGAGATGATAAAAAGATTTACTGGCCGGAGTATCTTCAATCTTCATTATTGTTAATTTCTCATGAATAGTGCGGATTGTGTACTTTACCTGTATTGACAAGATATTGTATGTATGTATATCCTCCAGGTATAACAAATCCATTGTATACACGATAATCTCTATGAAAACTACAAGGTAATAAGAACAAATCCAAATAAATTAATAGTGTATGACGTTTCGCTAACACCTGTGGGACACACCCTGGACCTTTCTTCTATAAATGGTAAACGTATGTTAATTGTCTCTCATTAAATATATATAAAATATTTTCAAAACTTTCTGTTTCTATCATGGAAATGTATCTATCTTTGTTTGGTATCTGTGTTCAACTGGGACGAAATGTCTCAAGATATAGGGAATGGCTGTTACTTACTTGTAGCAGTTGTTGTTGAAGGTGTTGTAGGAGGCGTAGGTCAGATGGACTCCGAACCCAACACCCACGGAGTAGAAGACTTGGATAGCGGCTTCCACCCACACCTGTGGGACACACGCTGGACTTCTGGACTATTCTCTTCGATATAATATGTGTATATATATAAAATTAAAGGATTTAAAAGCACGAATGTTTCTTTTATACATAATACAAACTTCTATGTATGTACATCCTCCCCCGGTATAAAAAACCCATTGAATACATTATAATCTCCGTGAAAACTACAAGAAAATAACCCAAAATCCAAATAAATTGTTAGTGTGTGACGTTTTGGTAACATCTGTGGGACACACGCTGGAATTCTATATATAGTGTATGAATGTACATCCTCCAAATATAACAAATCCATTGAATACATGATAATCTCAATGTGAAAACTACAAGGTAAAAGACCAAATCCAAATAAATTGGTAGTGTGTGATGTTTCGATAACACCTATGCGACACACCCTGGACTTCTGGACTATTCTCTTCTATACATTGTGTATGTATGTACATCCTCCCCCCGGTATAACAAATCCATTGAATACATTATAATCTCAATGTGAAAACTACAAGGTAATAAGACCAAATCCAAATAAATAGTGTGTGACGTTTCGATAACACCTGTGGGACATACACTGGACTTCTGGACTATTATCGTCTATACATTGTGTAAAACTATCCCCCGGTATAACAAATCCATTGAATGCATTTTAATCTCAATGTGAAAACTACAAGGTAATAAGACCAAATCCAAATAAATAGTGTGTGACATTCCAGTAACAACGTTGTTACCGAAACATCACACACTATTTATTTGGATTTGGTCTTCTTTTAGTTATTAATATGATTTTATTCTAATTTATCTGTGATGATGGTAACAAGGCTGTTACTGAAACGTCAGACACTATTAATTCAGTGTAGCATATATAAGCAGAATGATCCAATACAGTATTAGAGCTCTAAAGAAGCTTTCTGGTAGATTAAATTGACGAAACTGCTGGGAGGGTTCACCACTGATGAGCTAAGACCTCCAATATTTTTCATCGCAGTAAGGACAGTAGAAGTTTGATTTATTTTCGAAAATAAACATTCGCATCTTAATGTTTTAATTTGTTGTAAATGGTAATTTTGTTATTTAGCAAATTTCTCTCCTTATGCTTGTCTTTTAAATGATTTAAATACAGTTGAATATTAGAGATGTGAGCCGTTCTTGGAGTTTTACCATCAGACTCAAACATATTTGGGGTGGCCATCCATTTTGGTTACCCTTGTCACTCGATGCGGACCAGATAGCTTCCATTCCTTTCCAACCTTCTGATGTCTTACCAAAATATAATCGTCGATATTCATCTCTGGTGGCAGGGCCTTCTTACGACTGTTAAAATAAATCTTTGTTCTTTGTCGGTAGAGGTTTTGCTCAATTTGACTTTTTTTTTCTTCTGTTTCATAAAGGGGAGAGTGAACAAAACAAATTGCTTCGCCATCCCTT